ATTTATTTATTTATTTATTTATTTATACATCACATTTATATAGCCGCCCATCTCACACAAGCGACTCTGGGCAAAACATTAAGGTCTTGGGTAATAAGGAGGGAGGGGGAGAAAAATGCCAGGGACATGGATTTCTTTTCACTCTATGAGCTGAAGCTTTCTCAAGACATGGTCTAGATTCCTTCAGGAGTTTCTGTCAATGTTAGCCCTTTATTTATTTATTGGTTTTCAGAATCAAACACAATTCAGACTTAACCTATTTCTCGGTACAGTATTTGCTTTTTAAACTTATAACATGGCTGTCTTTTATAGTATTTTTCCTTATGGAGTCCAAAGGTATCAATAAGAAAAATTAATCTGCAGTCACAAGGACTAGAAACTACTTTCAGAGTTAGGAATCCTCCATATGTGGATGTCAGCATGCATACTTGAGAAACAGCCCTGGATCGTAAAAACCTGACATACTGTATATCACAGATGAATGAAACCAGCTCCCCACAGTTTCTCACAAAGGTTTTTTTCTATATCACTCTGTTACCTAAACTTGAAACTGAATTTAAGATATTTAGCAAGCAAAGAATGTGCTCAGAGATTAAACCACTGTTATCTGCTCATGAAATGGAACTATTCTAAAGTAGAAAAATATCTGAATACCCTACTACAAATATCCACAGACCCTTCAAAAAGGCTTCCAGTACAAGTAAATTGTGGCGCAGCTTATAACATAAACATTATCAGGCTGATTTTATATGAAATTACCATAAATATAAATATTATCAGATGGATACACCTGTCAATCATCACTGTTGGATCATCATGCTATTTAAATCACATCTATATCATTTCATAAACATGGAAAATCACATCCGTTGGTGCTAGGCACTTATTGGCTTTTTCATTTTAAAGTTATAATTAGATCAGCACACCAGCAATTAGAGAGCCTAAACATCCAGCCCCATCAAGTGTTAATTGCTGGTTTTGAAATATATATTTAGCCATTTAATCAAGGCCTGCATTATTTGGAG